CGTCGTTTAAACTTTTGTGACGAAAAAAAAGCCCCTGATTGCGTTACCCTGACCTTCCCCCTTAGGCGCCTTTCTCACGTATGGTTTTACGTGGTTATAGTGTATGAAAAAAATGCCACTGGATCTCAATGATGAGTAGTACCCCTTGGCTCAACTGTGTTATCGATCTGTCTACCATATGGCACTTGCTTTTTTTTGGGTTACCCAAAAACTTTCTCACCCCGCACTATAGTCGAAAAAAATAATGGTCACTGACCGTATCCATTTACCGGTGGATAATTCGGTGGAATTATATTCCGCAAGGGCAGGTCAGCTGCGTAGCTTGCGGCACTCAATTACACTTTGGAGGACTTGGGGCGTGTCTCTGTTGCCATTGTCGTTGTCCGGCAGGGCACTTGAGCCTCCCGACCGCAAGCATCTGGTATATATACGTATGTATAGATATCTGCATGAGTGTCCGTATGAAGATGCGCGAGTGAAAGTGCTCGTGCACAGCAAAGGGCTGAACTGCAACGGGGGGTTTCTAAGCTATACGTGGTACGAGCATTCTCGGAAACGGAGAAACCTAGTGAGGAAAATTGAGACGAAGATCGCGAGAGAGCGTTAATGGAGATACGGCGTGGATGGGATGGTGAATGTATTGGGTGCGACAAATTGCGGTTTTGTTTTAATGTTCCAATGTGGTACTGTTGATCCAATGTTTTCTCACCTCGACTGGGTGGATTGATGTCGACAGTTATTGGTGTTTCAATGAAAAATAATTGCTGTTAACTTTCATAATTACTTGTAAAAATAATAGTCGTTTTGTTGTTGATAGTACTTATTCAATCTGGTTGATCGAGTGTCTGCACCATTAGATGCGTTGATAGAAGCCGGAATTTTATTCATTGACGTATATTGGTACATTTCACGATAAAACCACGCTTTATTCATTTGGTTAAAAAAAAGCTCTTTATACACGCACATAGGCATAATTATCACCTTATTTCTCTCGACAAAGTACCTTAATCCCCCCATCTCTTCTTCATTAATGATTTTTCCCTCCCACAAGGATCGCGGCAAAAATTCTTTGATACCAAAGTACCATCTTTTTCGTTCCGTTCTTGCATTAGTTTAATTAATTTTCCCAGATTCACTTGCTCGTAGCCCATAAAAATGCCAGGCGCGTAGTACACCTCCACATCCACCTCGGAAAAGCTCCTCCTTTCGAGGCCAAGATTAAATTTGACAAAGTTTCCGCGACCCCTCCACGTAAGCTCTCCAACAAGATATACATGTATACGTGCACGGATGAGAAGAGGCAAAGAGAGACGGGAAAAAAGTTGCTGGCGTGCAAACACACATAAGGCAGGCGGCGCTGTCGTTTTTTCAAGGGATATATCTCACGGTCGTCGTAAATCTGTCGCCAATGCGCGCTATTATAAATTGTGATTTTTCGAAGGGCCCTTTTCGTCTTTTTCGCGTTGACTAAGAGAAAGTATTCCCACGACGTACCTGTGTATGTTCGCGGGAGTGTGTTCATACACAGGCCGAGAGAAAAAGAGTAGGTTGCTTTTGCATGATGTTTTTTATTATATGAATGCGTTACGCATTTCGTTGTTTGTGGACTTTTTGCTACGAAACTCGGTAATTTATACCTTTGCTCGAAATTTTCGAATTGATTTTCTAATACGTCCGTAACCTTTAAACTGACGAAATTCAAAAGAAAATCATCGACATTCGTCTCTGATTGGACGTGATTTTGTTTGTATAAAATTGAAAAAATTTTACCTATCGGGCCTACTTCCGCGAAATCCACCCGTCCAGTCAAACGATAATTTTCTTCCGGCGTTCTCCCTACCAGCTTGTTTTTCTTCATCGGCCGTGAATTTTATCTCTACTCATCCATCTCGCTTACTCCGCTTACTTTTTTTTTTCTTTTTTCCTCAGTATAGGTATACGGAGCTTCGAAAGCGCACGTATAATGGCAACTTGGGGGTTGAAATTTAGAATGGGCTTTCTTTAAATTTTTAGAATAATGGATACATTAGTTCCCAGTTCACCGAACGAGGTAAGATAGTTCTTACTTTCGCGTGAAGTATAAATTTTCTCTCTGCCGCAAAGGTTTTACTTTCCATCACGATTGATTTTTGATTAGAATAAGGGTAATTGGACGGATAAGAAACTACGATAGATCTATCTTTGAATTCATCCATTTGGCTCATCCTATAATCTGGTTCCTTATACGTTGAGTAAAACGTTATGTTACACATCAATGGACAAAAAGGGCCATTACACTGCATAGCCAAGTATATTAACTGATATTAATTTTTTCTTATAAAATGCATTGAAGTTGTGTTACACAGAATTTCTAGAATTTGAAATTTTACGTTGCACCAACTATTTAATTAGTTCTACTAAACTGGATACTTACGAACGAAAAAAATTATATCGGAAGAGTGTAGGATTCAGAAGTTAGCTGTCACAGATTTAACATGCATACAAGTGTGTAAAATCTGTGACGAAAGTGTTTTGCTCTATGCAGCCTTCTTAGGTCAATCATTGAAGAAAAAATTGTTTGGATTGATAGAAGACGTAAAATAGTTTACGAAGCATCGCATTGGTTATTCTTGAAATGATTATCAATATTTATACTACTGTAATGAATTTTATAAAAAAAAAATTAAAAAAAACAGATATTTATACACGCTTTGAGTGTGTACTTTAGCACACTTTTATTTATAGTGTATCCTGCCTTAATCTAATGTACATTATTTTTTTTTTAAATGAGCCACTCTGTATCCATTTTTAAGATCCAGCTGTTATGCCGACTATTTCCTTGTCAATTTCTTCTAGTTAATTTTCACTGATATCCAGTGGATTTTTACTGGAGGAAATTTATAGATAGAAAACTTCATAAATACTGCCGATACCGTGCAGGGGCTGCAGTACCGTGCCAAGCTGTTTACTAGCGTGGAGTTGCTGTCTTCCTCACCTTACCTTAAATACAGAAGCTGATTTGCGTGCCCATAGTCTTTTTATACTGTTTTAATTACAGCTTTAACTCCAAATGTGCTGTAGCTAAGGAACTTTGACATAATATTAATTAAGATTATATTAATAGCACAAGATTTTAACAAATTGATATTTATTTATCATACACTTTCGTGTAATTGTATCTTGTGTTTTATGATTCATTGATGATCTTCCTAGATTCTATCGTAATTTATACATTCGAAGTTGCGTAAAATGTTTGCAGTACGAACTTATTCTCACCAGTTTAGGTTCTAATCTCTGGCACTGTAATCAGTATGTCTTTTCCTTCTACTGTAAACATTGTCCATCTGTACTATGCACGTTCAGTATGTGTAGGGGTCACGTTCCAGAGATAGTCGATCATTTTCCTACAACTGTAGCTATAGGTTCGAAAAATAATTAACCTCCATAACCAAGTATTTACATTTATGACATTAAAACTAAAGACAATAGAACCTTATTCACAGACAACTGTACGCAAATTAATAATGACTCGATTTGTAAAGTTTTTTTTTCTAGTAAATTGTAAATTGTTTAACATGAAAATTAAAAGTTGTAACGTGTTCACCAAAAAACCAACCTTTAATTTACAGACAGCTAAACAATGCTCTATACTTGAAATCGACTTTAATCTGAAAAATATTATTCAAACTACCCTTGCACCGGATGCAGTAAATTACCCAGCGATTAATTAGTCTCCCTTTTTTTTCAACTACATATACTTCGTGTTGTCTTACTTAATCTTATTCGTTCACTCGGTACATAACCTTAGAGTCTGTATGTGTTTGCAAACGTTAACCAAATATACGTGCACATGATCGGTGATACAGAATGGGGAAAAAAAAAGAATTATCGTAAAAGCATGAGGGAAAACAGAAAATAAGGAAAGCGAGTAGTTACAATCAAGTGATTTTTACGAGAAGCCATTACTCGAGATGGAGGGGGCAGTCAATGTTTGAACTGAGTCCCTCATACACGAATATTGTGTGCACGCATGAGCTCACGTGGCGACCCTTGTGCAGCCTGTTTAATAGTGTTGGCTTAGCGAATGAAAAAAGGGTCAAAAATAGTTTTCCAGCAATCCTTAAGCTTAGCTAATGTTGTGTACCATTGAATCTTGCATCTAGACAATGTTTGTATTTTTTCAGTAAAATAAAGTATAGAAAACATACGTAAAATATCTATACGATCTGCGAGTGAATGTGATGTATATGGAAAAAAACATGAACAATAGAAGGGTTACTTATTCCCACAATAACAACACTCCACGGTAGCCACAAAGCACTCAGCTGTCGGTACGCGACCAAAGCAACCTGGTAAGCCCCACGCATTAGCCATAGAGCTCCCGCCCGTCTCATATACACACGTATACACCTCAACAGTGTCTCGTTCGCCATCAGCCGGTATATAGCCGAGATGCCATTAGTTTCGGACGCTTGTCCGGCCAGTCGGTGGTGACAGCTACCTCTCCCACCTCCCATCTACCTCACTCACCCCTCAGATACCACTCCTGAAATCCAATAGCATCTGATCCGTGATGCATCCATTAGTTGGTTTGCAATGAATTACTTAAGGAGACGCCACCTTGGTAGGCATATGGAAGCAGGCGGCCCTCAATGTAATGCGAGAATCCTATTGAACCGTCGCTGTTGTAATCTTGATAATGGCTGATAATGAGAGGTACGACAAAAATACGTTTTGTCTTAAGGGCCAAGATAAAGCTCTTGTTCGTGTGTATGCGAGGCAGGATCGAGCTTCGCCTACTTACCTTTCGGCGTGACATTGTTTGCTTTGGCGCCGTTACGATGGGTGCTTTTGTTAGTTCTAGGCATATGGTACATACAAATTTAACATGGTGGACGTACCGATGGAACGGTTGTCAATCATACCAAATTTCGTCATTGTCACCTGACTTTCATTAACAAAACCTACGAGAAGGTTTGTTCCGCAAATAATTGACAAAATACTTGTTTTTTCTGTTGCAGGTTTTTCTATTTATACCACTTCACGTTTTATGCTTATCAATACCGCTTCAACGGACAATACAGCAGCTTGGCCCTCGTGACATCTTGGCTCTTTATCGAGGTAAGTGCTGCACTGTCGATACATCTAGAGGCTCCTTCTCATCAAACTCAGTTGCAATCGTGAAAAAACAATTTCAATCGGAGAAACAATGACGTTTATGGAATACTATTACTGGCAATCGTTTGGAGTGAACGGGGCTCCTTGCCATCACCGAGCAGTCGTAATCTGGAATAATTTGCCTCTAAGATGGCAACGTGACTAGATATTTTTATTATGGAAACTGTCAGGTACTCCATGTTTAGTCATGTATTTAAAATCCTACGAGACGCATTGCACAAGGATGTACCCGGCCCTCTCGTGTCCGGGCAAGTCAGTTGCTATTCTTGTCTTGCTTTCTTTGCTCTTCTACTGACTATGGCTCACTGTCATCCGCAGATACTCGCTGGCGAGCTCTGCTTTTCTCATAATGTAACTGTGTATAGATACACGTGCGAGTGAGAAATGGATTTCCGTTTCACTTTGTACTGACGACGAGAATTCATGAGGTAAGGACGAGCTGTTGCTTCTAGATTTTTACTTCGTTAATTCAACAGCAATGGCTATTTCGTGACTCAGTTTTTTCAACTTTTCAAATTTACTTGATCAAATAGTATGTTGTTGATTTCCGGTGACATTCATGTTATATTACGCGAATCACTTGGGGTTGCTATGGCAATTCAAATAATAATTTTATCAAATAGTGATTTCATCAAAAGTCATGCTATTATGTATTCAACATAGTACGACTAGCTGGTAAAACTTGAAGCAATAAATCAGTGATAACATGGGGCTGTTTTAATATTGACTGTTGTAGTATCTGTTTCGTTTGATAAGACTAGAAGTTGTGCAAAATCTTGACTCGAGGTTCAGTTTTACCATCACGTGACACACTAGTCGTCTATTTACTGTCGTAAAAAACATGCGTTTACACCACTTTTGCCGTTAATCTAATGTTAAACTATATTGAAATTGCATTGGTATACCTTCTTAATTTAAATCAGTGAAGTTTCACTAATTTTAATTTTCACAAGAAGATTCTCTCAAAGTTTCACAAGCTTGTTATTACGTTTGGTTTATGATACAACAAACTTGATTATTTTTGATCCACATCAACAAAGATTGGCAACAAAAAATTTTATTTTAACAAAAATGTTTAAATCAGTTTACTAGGTTGCTTATTATTTCAAAAATAGCAACAAACCGGGTCATTTAAAAAAAAAAAAAAAAAAAAAACCTCAATGCACGAGAACTTTGTTACAGATTACGTATAGCCAGCAGGCAGAAAAGCAGGCACGAGAGAGGTCGTTTTCGAAAATCACGTTTCCCCCTCCCGCCCAGCCCCACACTTCGTAACTGCTTTGCCAAACTATTCGACGCAAAAATCGCTCAATCTCTTTTCCAAAGCCATCAACGAGCTCCGCCACTTGCTGCGCCATTTTTTCACTCGTGATCGCCGAAATTCCGAAATGATAATAATCAAGAGAAGCGATGGGCAAGCATTATAGAGAGCAGGCGCGTAGGCCCGAGGGCGTTGATTGCACCGAGTTTAATCAACCGTCCAACTTTGACCCACAGAGCCTGGGCTGAAATCGAAATTCTCGGAGCGTCAGAGTTCGAACGAGTCGTTTACGTAAACGTGTTAATTACCCTTTAATGGGACAGGGGTCTAGCCGTGTACTCGTGTAACGTTTTAATTTCATACGGGATCATCCACGTTCGCCTGTAACGTAATGGTTGCTGGGATAGGATGAACGTAGTTGGAGCCTTAAACTGGTCATGTCGGACGCATTTCGACTTTTATTTTTGTTATTGCCACATTAACTTATTATTCATCTTTTATGAGTAAACTGGCTTATCCACCGTATTATTTGCTTTAACTTTGAAAACATGTGTTAATTACATGTTAACCAGTGAATGTCATACCATTAGTTTTGTTAATATTTTCCTTAGTAATATATGAATCAAAACCGTGTACAATTTTTATCTTTTTTTTTTTGAGACGGCAAGCATAATATATTTTGCGGCAGATCATTCAACGTATTATACTCTCATACTATAAAAATTTTTTTTGCCATTCTTAGTAATTAACCATTTAATAACTACTATTTAATCAAACTATGTTATAAATTTCAAATAATGATGCAATGCACACAAAACATCTGTCACCCGACAATCAGTTTATAAGACACGATATAGATAAAACACAAATCCGTAAAAAAACAGGCTGTTTGATGCCAGACATTTTAATTTCTCCATAATTTTTCTAAAATTATGTAAAATTGTACAAACAAAAAATAGTAACTCATACAGAAAGATGTATTAAAGCTTTTATCTATCGTTATATTTACTTAAAGTATTGTGTTGGTAGATCATAATATTTAATTCAGGTACTTTTGTAATTTTGTTAATCTAAACCTTTCCATAACAAGCAACATAAATTGTGGATTACTAATTTCCAATGGCCAACGCAAAACAAACAAGTGTATTCAATGTGTTTAAACAGTTTATCTAGATTTTCATTTTACAAATTTCAAACGAAAAAATTGTTTGGTATGGTATTTTTTTAAAGTTTTGTGAGCAAGTTAAAAATGGCGTAAATTGCTAATTACTAATGCAACAAAATCAGCATGATAAAAAAAATTGTTTTTCAACACAGGTTTATAAGTTCGTATGTAACTTTTACCGAAAAAGTCTTATACATGATATACAATATGTCACATTACAACTATATAGGGTAAATCTTTGTAGAAGTGAATCATCATTATCAATAGCTAAGGTGATGAACTTGAAATTTTCAAGTTTCTACCGATGTAAATAATTTATTCTCAGCGGTTAAAGTAAAAATATATTTTGTGGGGGAAATGGTCAAATTCGTTTCTGAGGCCCCGAAGCGCATATACTCAAATTGGTTCCCGGGGGAAAAAATGAGAAGATTAGATATGTATTTATGTTATACATATCATGTATTATATTTTAATGTTTAAAATTTTAATGTATAAAAAACGATCTTTAGCGTTGGACGTGCACATTTCGATCGTGCAAGTGCTACGTAAAAATTAATGCATCAAATAGTGTGGTAGAAAGATAAACTCACCAACACGAGCACTAACAAGTTAAGGAGGCCATTAAAAATCTCGTAGTGCAAAAAACAAATCGAAAAAGACTCTCGACCAAGAAATATTTTTAAGAAAAAATGTATCATCTCATCAAACAGGTTCTATAACCAGATTTCAATTTATTCGAATAATATTTTAAAAAAATTACTTTTATTCTTCATGATTGAAAATCCTTCATTTATACTCGCAATCATCAATATTTTTTTAAACCCGTCAGCGACTGCCAGTCTCAAGCCTGGATGATGTGTGAAGGGAAAAACATTACCAATTTAACTATGCGCCTCAGGGCCTCGGGAACCAATTTGACCATCATTTTCTGCAACATATTCATCTGGGAACCAATTTGACACCGCTGATATATTTGACACATGCACTATTTATACATATGTATAAAAATTTATACATTTTTTTAAATAAATATTTTGAAGATTATTACGATGTACGATACTAGTATGATATTAATTACTTGTATCCATACTTAATGTATATTATTTATTACTGCAAACAACGATGTATTTTCGCAGTTGGTTTGATTAGATAAGTATTTAATATACGTACATCAGCACGCACCAAAAGCCTGTGTACGTTACTCACTAAGTGAACTATACTTTATTACTTGTAAAAATATGTTGTATCATTGGTTTGAGTATACCTTAAAAATCATTAATTTTGTTAAGGATTGAAAGTAGTAGAAATAGTGATTCAGGGACTAGAACGTTTGAGTAGGTTGTCACAATCAATAAATCCAGCTCTAATTTAGAAACAAAAAAGTTGCAATGGCAGTGTAAATTTTTATTCATACTAGCAAAAAATAAATAGTCAGAGCATCACATGTACACAAGTATTAAAAATTTGTTAAAATATTAAAAATTTATTCTTACAATATGACCATAAATCATAATGGCCCACCCCTTCTTACACAGTATATAAATCTTGAGTAATTTCTCAATGTTTCGTCAAATTTTTTACATAAGTATCTCTAGCTTCTCTTCTAACAAAACATCAAATACCTTAGGCTACAAAAAAAAATTATATATTAAATTAAGTTAGCTTTTGGTGTGTCTTGACATGTCCAGGCACATATTCCTTCAATTGTTTTTCGCATTTTTAAGAACGAAACCTTCAGTAAGATTGTGGCGATAAGTAATCGTAGTACGAGGATCGTATGTGCCGTTCATAACTGTTTTTAGAAAATTCAGAAACAAGTTAACTCTGGTATATACCCCGGGCCTAGTTTTTTCATTGCAATCCGCAGGGCCCATAGATTGTACTCCGATCAACGTGGTGTGCATGAATACGAGTGGTCCACCACTGTCACCCTATTGAATAATTTATTTTAGAATGTTTATCACAATTGTCAGCTGATATCAATTGATTACTGGATGACATGATATGACAATAGTTATGGTGGATGAAAAATTTTACGTGTCGGTGTTTCAGTGTACTTACTCGACAAGCACCTTCGTATTCAAATTCAGGGCGTTGAACCATACGAGCGCACAAATGTTTGTGGCTTAACCCCTTATACTGTCGTTGGCATTCATGCTGTTTTAGTACATAAGTTTCTCCATATCGCAGATTTGCATTTTTATGATAAACGTAATGTAAGTAAACTCCAACTTCCATTTCTTCTAGTATGACTGCATTGATCCCGAAACCAACGATGATGGCTTTTTCATCCTCGTACGAGTGATGAGCAGGTAAATCGAGTGAGCTTATAAAAGGGGTTTTCCCGATTCCAAGTTCTTCTGTGAGCTGGGGAAAGAACATCCATTAATTTATTTTTTATTCAAATCTAAATTTTGGTTCAATGAGAGAAGAAAAAGTTGAATCAAGGACTTAATATTTTTCAATTGACTCGATAACGATTCAACACACTTTTAAAACAGCGATGTCAGAGGTTTG